TTTACAAACAAAATGACAGTCAATGACAACAAATCAGTGTACCTGAAAGATAACAGATTTCTAATTCTTTGGCTGCTTTCAGGCTTTCATCATCTAAGTCAACCTTATTAAAAGAATTGTTAGTGCTAGATTCTTCCACTTCTTGGATCTTTGATGAGTTAGACATTGACAGAACTGAAGGAGAATAGTTAGATGAGAGAATGTCATCTTCCAGAAAAGAGTGGACCTTCCTGTTGTCTTCTTCTTCGCCATCATCATCATTATCATCGCTCACCTCATCCTCACAGTCGACAAAATTGTCAACCTGAAAATAGAACTATTATATAAGAAACAAAGGAATAAGTTATCTCCTGGCCTATGCCACAAAACTATTTTATGCTAGATATCTTGTAACAAAAAAGTCAAAATACCTGAAGGACTGCTCCACTAGATGATTTAGCTGTTCGCATGAGGATAGGGACAGCTGTTGAACCAGGTCCCAGTACCTGTAATTGTTGCACAAACTATTAAATTACTAAGTTGATAGAATTTACAAAATCAAATTTTCATTTGACATTTAGATATATCTGATTTTCAAATAATAGATTAATAACTGGGGAATAGAAGTTTGAAATGAATAATGAAATGGCAATCCCAACAGTGGTACAAATACTTAACAGTGAGCATTTGACAAGCTATGTCCTGTACTCTGCAAACCGTTTTCATTCAAATAATATTGGACTAGCAATACTGACAATTTATAGCACATTACAAGGAAGAACACTAGCACCAAGGCAAGGCAAGGCAAGGACGACACTAGCACCACAAACACAACATTTTTGTGTACATTTTTTAGTGACTACAGAATGAAGGCTTTTCATATAATGTACAAGATCTATATTGGCATTTTTACAGTGTAAGAACCCTAAATATTCCCGCTAATATGATTAAAGCCCTCATCTAATTTTAAAGTCGCTAAAAAGGTGTTAAAAAATGTCACATGTCAAGTATCTTTACTATAAGTTCTTACATTCTTTAAAACTTAATGTATATTATTTTATTTAGTTCTTAGCAAGACACTTACTTCTTCTGGTATATTGTCATTTTCTGTTTCCTGACTCTTTTGGGACAGGGAATTCTGGAGAGCAACATCATTACTAGCCTTCAAGTTCATATCATGACTTGATATACCATTTTGGGTAATACTGTCAGCATGATAGTTGTGAGAACTGTGAGCTTTCATTCCAGTGACGTCATCTGCCAAGTAAAAAGTATTCTGACCACTACTTTTGTACTCTAAAAAGGTAACTTAAAGTCTGCATACGAGCCAATCAAGTGGTCTGGCACTCATCACTGTGACAGTAAAGTGTCTTGTCCAAGAACACAATGCAATGTCCCCAGCTAGGGCTCAAACCCAGACTACTCAACCTGAGGATGAGTGTACTAACCATGAGGCCACCAAGCCTCTAAAACAACAGTATATGGTATTTTAGAAATTCCCCTGTCCCAAGAATCAAGGCTTGTCACAAACTCTTGAAGAGAGCATTTTTAGTAGGCAGTTGATTTTGTCATCTTTTTTCCTAAAAAATCAGATTATTTACTCTTCACAAATCCAGTGAGCCATTGAATTAGCAAGATTAATCAGCAAAATTATGATGGAATGGAAAAAATCACACAGCATATATATATATATATATATATATATATATATATATATTTAAAATCCAGCACATTGCATTGTAGAACCATTGACCTTCTTACTCTCTTGTTTCTGGTCAGCTCTTAGCAAACGTATTCAAACACATTCATATTCTACAGAACGTCATGATCATCTATGGGTGGGTGGGGGGGGGGTGATTACTGGGGGTGGAGAGCACCCCCCTCCAAAACCTACTATTAAAGCCTTACTTGGTAGTACAGTAAAGTTAAAGATATTCCCTGAAATAAACTGATCATGGATGCGCAGTTAGATAACCAAATAACATTATTACAAGTAGCAATCGATCAGTTTTTCTTTCTTCCACTTTATTATAAAATGACAGTTTATTTCATTCCCAAATGAATAGAATTTCCAATGCACAAGCTTATTAGCTTACATGCATGAGCGTACGTGCGTCAGAGTTGATGTCATGAAAAGGATGGTCACGCACCCTTACCTGTCGTCAAGAACATAAAGCCCTGCACAAATTCCTCGTAAGATTGCTGTTCTTTACTAAATACCTCGTCAAGTGCGTCTTTTGCGTACTGATCAAGATCTGCAGATTGCTCGTCGCTTCTTCTGCCTTCACCTTTCGCCATTTTAATTGTTTGTGTCCGTCATAATTCATTGAAGACTGTAAACTAGTTCTCAGTCTCTCTCCACCGTGTAACCAAGCACCGGTGGAAAACATACCAGGACGGCGGGAAGATGGTGAGATATTTTCCCTTTTTTCACGATATATTTTCGAAGTAAATGCATGTCTAGTTCTTGAAATGAATGTTATGGTTGCTGCTGCACTTAGAGATAAACCAATGCAGATTTTATAAGGGAAGATGACGAGCAAAGCGTTCTGTGTATGTACATTTCGATGCGGGCAAATTCTGCAGTACAGTATGGGGCCCAGTTCTCGGCCACAAAAAACGTAAACTTGTATTTCTTACCTTGGAATAGCCGTAAGGACTTAAAATTTTATGTACAATTAGCTTCAGCATTCAGTTTACACATGTAGAGCTATGGACGTCTCAACGCTGTTTTCTCCCGAGTAATAACGAAAATGGAGGCTTCGTTTGTGGACCCAGTTGTCGGCCAGCGGGTCCAGTTCTCCCCCACGAAAGAGTGCGGGCGATTCCTCAGAATAAACAACGCTTTATTACCATTTTTTGTTGTTAAATCACTTATAA